AGGGGGGTGGGGTGGACATTGTGGCCGTCCGCCACAGTATCCGAGTCGGACGGCTTAGATAGTTAGCAGATACTTTTCATCACGTGCATAATGAGTTCTGTGTTATTGCCTTGCATCCGACACGGATGTCTTGAAGAGGAGGTCAGCTCACGACCCAGCCCAAAAAGGCCCCCAAGCCACGGAGGTGATTCTAAGAACCTTCGTTACTCTGTTTACGTCACTGGGGACAAAAGTGGACCAGGCTCTCTCCACATCCACTCTCGTTTTTCGTAACGTATTAATACAATCCGTACCATCTCCAATGCCGGCTGGATCAAGTATGCGCACCAGTTAATGTCTGAGGTAAGCGTACGAGTATGTATGTGCCAAAACTAAGAAGTGTGTGAATGAGAGCATCCCTGAACTAGTAACTTAAAGGAAAAAAATCAGGTTGGAGCCTAAGTAACCAAATGGACAAACTGGCCGCGTAAATAAGGGATCAGCCTCCATAAAATCAGGCGTTAAACGTACCAGCAAGCTTTTGCCTCAATGACTAGTTCAGTTGATTTGCCAGGCCCCAGTTCGAAACGGTTGGGAAGGATGGTGATGTCGAGAGCAGAAGCAGCATTGGTAAAAGCCTTAAGGAGAAAACGACATACCGTCTGAGGAAGTTGAACCGTGGGACCAACAGGAAAACGACTGATAATGCGCAAAAACTTTTGTTTACTACATAATGGCCCTCAGATTATTCATGTCGTCAGATAGATCAACGGTCAGATTTCGTGGAAATATGTTCGATAGCACATAGTGTTTGCACAAATCCTTGCTCTATTTGAGGCTAAACCTGCTTATTTGCGAATGATGTAAAAACATTACAGTACTTGAACTTCTGGGTATTTTCAACGACATCATGTTGGAAAATAGCTCTTAAACGATGTGGAGCTACGTGCACGAAATAGGAAGTCCAGGTATGTGCAGAGCCTGAAAATATTAGCAACTATCAAGTCACTCGTTGGCCTGAAACTGCACCGCTTCCCAGCTCAAACACAACAACCCTATCCATGAGGAAATCGCAGATCCTGGAGTGCTGGATCAAGCACCTTGAGCAAGTCCATGTGCTACCTGCGAGGAATCCATCAACAGACTCCCGTTTTCAGAGACAAACGCTGACCTTCATCTCCCATCCTCTTTTGAGGACAAAGTCCCTGTAGAGCAACAATTCAGCCTCTAGGAGAGACGACGGGCTCTTCTAAGCCGCTAGCCACACTCAAGCAGCAGAGAACTTAATGCCCGCGCAAACGAAAATGTGAGTTCCAGGAAAGAGCTGGGACGCAGTAGGCGCGCCCGATGGAATACAAGTTTTATTCGCCTGATGTTTCAGAGACAGTATCAGGCACACACAGGGCACACAAGTAATGAATGACACCAACACTCAGACAAAGCGACAGCTACTGGAGGTTCGGGCCTGTAACAGCAATTCCACAAACAGACATATTGATACGCCTCCCTCCAGTCCTGGCTTACTTTAACGTGACCGGACGGCGCGATCCAATTTCCGACCAAGGTTGCACATGACCGCCGGCCCGTGAGACCACAGTCGATCGGTTAGCGTGACTTTGCCCTAGTCAGGGGTTAAAGCCTTCCAGCCAAAAGGCTAGACAATACTTGACTCGTCTGAATGGAGCATCATGAACATAGTGTGTATACCGTGCTCGGACGCTAATCTTCAAAAAAAGAGTTCAGGCTCGCATAGTGACCTCCGCACGACAGAACTTTGTCTACTCAAATAAGGGATGTTTTGTTAGAACAAGTACACGAAGCTTACGTGTCTGATCTGTCATTTATCCACTATTACATCGAGCGTTTAGTAGAGGAAACGCAGTTGCCTTTTGAGATTCGTGCTGCAACGGCAAATCAATTTAAACCCCAACGATAAACGGACCTGTTGCATGTTGGAACCTCTGAATATGTAAATTTTGCATATGACAGCGTCACAGTTAGGTTTACTTAGAAGGGGAAATTTGCCATTTTCAGACGAATCATGCGTACCTCTTCCTTGGCCTGTTCGCTTGTCTTGATATGCACGATCGGCTCCTCAACCGACCAAATGAGTCTTTGTAGACGCCGACCACGGTTTCGTACCCGGAATACGCGACGCAGGGGTGTCGTGTCAAAGTGTTGACCCAGGTTCAGGTTAGCCGGCAAAGTGGGCTCAAACACAATGGTAGTGCCCTTACCGAATGCCTGCAGTTCTACTTTGTGCGAAGAAGTGGCCTCCTCAACAAGGATTTCGAGAAGACCGGTGAATTGTATGATGTCGTTCACCTCTGCTGTGATCGTCAGCGTGCACTGGGCGAATGGGGCGAGTTCGAATTCTGATGGAGTAGCCTCAAAAGCTTTGACTTCTTGGTGCTGATGTTATGAATAGGCGCAAAATTAAAATGCACTAATAGGTTAGGTATGCATAACATTTATCGGCTTATTCTTCGGAATGAGTAAAGCTCTGCCAAGTGAGTGTCGACAGAATAATCTGTATATATTAAGGAAAGGATTTAACCCATTCCATTTTAGCATCCTGGTTATGAGAGGACCTAAATACATGT